TCCCCCCCCCCCCTCCCTCCGCATTGTCATCAGTTCCCTTGCTGACTCCTCCTCCTCACAGTCATGCTTCCCCTCTTCCTGCTTGTTCTTATGCTCCTTCCTGTTTTCTGCTGCTCCTCCTGCTCCTGCTGATCCTCCTCCTGCTCCTCCTCTTAGGAGCTCCTGCTCCTCCTGCTCCTCCTGCTCCTCCTCTTAGGAGCTCCTGCTCCTCCTGCTCCTCCTGCTCCTCCTCTTAGGAGCTCCTGCTCCTCCTGCTCCTCCTGCTCCCCTTCATCCTCCTGCTGCTCCTGCTGCTCATGCTGCCCTTCATCCTCCTGCTCCTGCTCCTGCTCCTGCCCCTGCCCCTGCCCCTGCCCCTGCCCCTGCCCCTGCTCCTTCTGCTCCTTTCAGACTTGAAACAGGTTTTTGTTTCAAGTCTGCCTCAGCCTGGATAAAACCTAGCAAGACTAGTCGTTCCTACTGACCGAGAGCATCTCTCTACATACTCTGAATGAAGAGAGTGTCTTCACAAGCGCCATCACTGAGAGCATCTCTCTACATACTCTGAATGAAGAGAGTGTCTTCACAAGCGCCATCACTGAGAGCATCTCTCAACATACTCTGAATGAAGAGAGTGTCTTCACAAGCGCCATCACTGAGAGCATCTCTCTACATACTCTGAATGAAGAGAGTGTCTTCACAAGCGCCATCACTGAGAGCATCTCTCAACATACTCTGAATGAAGAGAGTGTCTTCACAAGCGCCATCACTGAGAGCGTCTCTCTACATACTCTGAATGAAGAGAGTGTCTTCACAAGCGCCATCACTGAGAGCGTCTCTCTACATACTCTGAATGAAGAGAGTGTCTTCACAAGCGCCATCACTGAGAGCATCTCTCTACATACTCTGAATGAAGAGAGTGTCTTCACAAGCGCCATCACTGAGAGCATCTCTCTACATACTCTGAATGAAGAGAGTGTCTTCACAAGCGCCATCACTGAGAGCATCTCTCTACATACTCTGAATGAAGAGATTGTCTTCACAAGCGCCATCACTGAGAGCGTCTCTCTACATACTCTGAATGAAGAGATTGTCTTCACAAGCGCCATCACTGAGAGCATGTCTCTACATACTCTGAATGAAGAGATTGTCTTCATAAGTGCCATCAACGAGAGCATGTCTCTACATACTCTGAATGAAGAGATTGTCTCCACAAGCGCCATCGCCAGTGACCATGAACTAGCCTGAGATGCCGCTACCTGTATCGAGGTCAAATGGTTCGATTGATTGAAATCGGATTTGCCAAGGACGATCTTTTCAACAGATCAGGAGAGCAGAGAACGAGGATGATCGCGAATTCGTCAGTGATGTACCACGAACAGTTTCTTCGATGATACCAAGAAATCATCCCTTGTTTCCAACCACCCTGTTGTTGCAACCTGGTTGTCCTGGGAAAACAGCAACATCAACACCTCCGCATGTGCGCCTTCTCAAAGAGATGAATGTTAATCCTTGCGAGGTGACTGCACTAGTGACTGCAGCTGTGACGACTAGCATCTGACAGGAATCTCAGGCGGAGAAAGGCGGAAGGAGCCATAGTAGAGCAGGCAGAGAAAGGCGGAAGGAGCCATAGCAGAGCAGGCGGAGAAAGGCGGAAGGAGCCAGCAGGTGAAGGGAGCAGGCATCGTACAATCAAGGAAACGCTACAAGCTGACAGGGAAGCTAGAGGTAACTTGAATGACGGGCAGGGCGGCGACAAGGCAGCAAGGGAGAGGACTGGCGAGGCCGCCTGAGGCTGCCTCGAAGCTGGCGAAGTTGAAGTATCCGCTGCCACTTCATAGTCCGGGGCCAACAAGACTGGAAAGGAGTGAAGGCGTGTGACGTGTAGGTACTCTGACACTTTGGAAATGCAGCGTAAGGACATACCAGCAAGTGAAGGGCAGGGATTTCTCCCCAGCAACCTCGGACAGTCGAAGGCAGAGTGATTCGAGGTACCTCATCTAATCGATAGAAGGAGAAGTAAAAGCCTTGGAGGTTGAAGCAGACTTGATGTATCAAGATGCGGTTGAAGCAGACTTGATGTATCAAGATGCGGTTGAAGCAGACTTGATGTATCAAGATGCGGTTGAAGCAGACTTGATGTATCAAGATGCGGTTGAAGCAGACTTGATATATCAAGATGCGGTTGAAGCAGACTTGATGTATCAAGATGCGGTTGAAGCAGACTTGATATATCAAGATGCGGTTGAAGCAGACTTGATGTATCAAGATGCGGTTGAAGGTTGAAGCAGACTTGATATATCAAGATGCGGTTGAAGCAGACTTGATGTATCAGCAATTTGAGAATTTCTTGACGGAAGAATACGAGCGAGCCACAAGGTTGCGTGGACCTGAGGCGACAGCTGAACAATTCTACGAGTTATCAAAGGTGACTGTATCAGACCTTTTGAGGCCTTCGAAGCAGGCCGCATGGATATCGCAGTCAGCTTCACCAAGACGTAAGCGGAATCAGATATTTAACAGAGGAAGGAGCGAAATGAATGATTACTTCATGATGTATGATTTGTAAACCGACTCGCGCATGCTTCGATGAGATGAGGTCATAGGTAGAAAGAGCGCGGATTGTTTGCATCGAGTCAAGGCCTTTCAAGCCGATGGATTGAAGAAGAGCCTGCTTAGTAGGCTGGTGCGTGTGTTCACACGCCTGAGCTCTGACCCCTGCCAAGACGTGGAACCCACCTTGTTCCCCCTCATTCGCTTCAGAGGGCTGGACGAGAAGGAAGAGAAGATCCCGAAGGCTCCGCATCCCCTCCTGCTGTCGCTGCGGTCTATGAACTCCATGACGAATTTTCCTCCATGGGAATGCAATGGGGTCATCTCAGAGCCTACTGTTTCTGTCCTGCTACAATCTGCGCGAGGGGATGCCGTTTGATTTTGATATCTGCGTGGAGAACGACATGCGCGAAGACTATGCGTTCGAGAAAGAGGAGTGCGAATTCGTCATGGGTCCTTACAGCAGCTTCATCCATGCTTGAGAGTACACTAGAGTACACTGAATGACGTGGCCCTGCAGTAAGCAGCTTCTTGTTAGCGCATGTCTTGTGACCAGGCTTCATCTGGTCTAACAAATCAATCACAAGGACCCGCTGCGTTGACAGACCTACGAAAGCCCTTGGGAATGTCTGACCCTGAACATGCTCGTCCCTTGTAGAAGAGACTGCAGACTCGCTGAAAGCCCGTGAGCTTGAAGAGAGTGAGGAGAGGAGAGGAGAGGAGAGGAGAGGAGAGGAGAGGAGAGGAGAGGAGGAGAGGAGAGGAGAGGAGAGAGGA